TCCTCCTCTTCTCTCTCTGCCAGAGTTCGTGCTTGTCGTCGCTGAACATTCTCAACAGTCGCGGCTCGATGCTCATTCAAAAGCTCCGCCAATTGATAGACACATGCCTCTAGCATGGCTATCTCACGCACGCGTTCTAAATCCCTAGGCGTGCAGCATAACAGTCAGTAAATGACTTCAAAAATCCCAAGTACCCTCAAATTCACTAGATAATCTTGCAATAGCGCTACTTATTCGAAGCTCAAATGACATAATATTATACTAACGGAAGCTTTAAGCGTTACCACCACGCTATTTGATCAACGCCTGCAATACATACTCTAGTTAACCTCGGCTATAATATTAGGAAATTGTAAGCCCCGAAGCCTACCATTTTTACAACAGCGAGAAGAGCGTTGATAAGACTTATCCGAGCTCCTTGATTCTAATGCTCCTAAAATCGCAGATAATCTCTCTCCTCACTATTCTACGCAAAGTAAAGCACTCTTACTCCGGCGCAACAGAATTAACACCTCCACGGTGATTCCTGGATCGAGTAGCTGCTTTGGCGGAAGGGAAAAATTCGGGAGGAAGGTCCTCAAGAGCGCGACCTTTCGTGGCCCAGAGACGCTGAGCACGCTCCTCTAATGTGCCACCACATTTAAGGCCAAGAGCAAGGAGGGCTGATTTGAGACGATCTAGGCCAAGAGAAGCCAGTTCCTCGGCCTGTCGGAAGGGCGTAAGGTCGAGATGTGCTCCAGCACGAGAGAGAGCGGGTGCAGCAGATCCACCACTGCCACTTCCACTGCTACCCCAACCCGGGAAGACGTCCTCCGCCCATTCGCGCTCGAAACGAGCGAGAGCAGAAGCAGAGACCTCAGCAAGATCCAGCATCGGTTTTGCACGGGACAAATAGCCCTCCAGATAAGAAATGAGGCGCTCCAAGTAGTGACGATAGGCACCTGACGCAGTTTTGCGTTCGCGAAGGATCTCATACAACTTATCGTAGGTCTGGAGGTACGTCAGGTAGTCCACTTTCTACGAATTTCCCAATCGCATGAGAAAACCATTAAAATACCAGTTATCCTATGTTTAATGCAGATACATGACACCTCTTAAGAAAT